AGAACTCAGTGATTTTGACAGAGGTAGGATCCAGCAGCAATAATTGTGTGCACTTTTAAACTGCTGTGTTAGCTGATGACTTGAGCCCACGTCGCGTTCTGAGCTCCCCAGTTGTCCATTTGGTTACGTGCTTACCCGTGCTTTAGCCTGTGTTCCAGATAAGCCATTCAGCTCGTCAAATTGGGAGACTCAAGCATATAGTGGGGAACGGCTGAAACTTAAGCACTATCTCGGTAGCCAGTCTGGATAACACTAGCTTGAGCCATGTGGCATAGTGACATTCAAGTTCAGTGGCATTCAAGTTCAGTGCACTTGGGCAGCGATAAGGGAGACGAGGCAGCATAGCCTGTGTTCTTGCTGTTTCGCCTCTGCAGCTCCAGAAAGGTGCTTAAACTCATAGTTATCTTTAAGCATGTGATTATCTCTGCATGAGTCAATGCGGCCAGCTACAGGCATCCAGTTAAGCATGTGTTTTAAAGTGTGTTTTAAAGTGTAGAACCCTGCATTTGGCAACAAATTTGCAGTCAGAAATTCTGAAATGCTTTGGGCATCTAACCATAACTGAAAAAGGAAATGGTTGCAGCATTCTTTGCTTGTGAAATCTGTTTGCTGGGAAATCATCTATTAGAAACCACCATGTGATGGCTGCGTTTGATTTTTTGTGATCAAAAAGAGGACAGGATTAGAAAATCTGGAGGTCTAAAATTGATCTCAGGCAGTCACCCCAGGTTTGTTTCAGTTGCTGTTTGAGATGTCCTGGGGTGTTTTGCATGGCCTCCAGCTGCTGCTGCAAAAGGGCACATCTCCCAAAGATCTTGTGTCACATCTGCTAGCCCTGTGCAGTTGCCTTGAGTACTTCAGAGGGTACCATACGCCTACGTGTGGGCAGCTGAACTGGTCTTTTGTGTCTCTTGGTAGGTCCCTTAATGTTTCCACCTTGTTTTCCTTTGCTATAGAGCAGAGATAATTCAACCTGCTTCCTAATGGGTATTGCTAGCATAAATTAGTAGTTTTACTATTAGAAGAAAAGGTTAGGGGTTTAATATTAGGTTAGCAATAAGTCTTGTAGCAACCATGCAATTGTTGTAGCGCCATTTGTTAATAGTTCAAGAATTCGTGAAATCAGGTGCCTAACTTGCTAGTTGTGAGATTGCTTGCAGAAAGAGCTGTTTACACCTTTGCTCTTGTAGCGTTTGTGAAATGCTTGATTACTGTGAGTCAGACATGCTGTGCTTTGCACGTTGTGCAGTTACTGTGAAACAGTTCCTGAAAGACAGATCTGTATGTGTGAGTTAAATGATGTTTTGTTGTTATAGTGTAACTATACCTAATCCACCTTAATACAGCAACACAGAAAAGAGCGCTAGGGCTTCAGCTGTGTTCTTCCAGGGCTTGCCGTTCATTTTCTCTCTCTCAGTGGAAATGTAACATCCTGGTTTATCGTAGCTTGGAAAATGACATTCTGCTTTCTGTGGAGTGACGTTATTGCCATCATGTAAATTCCATGTCGATGGATTAAAAAAATAAATTCATGCCTTAGAAGGGGAATTTTAAGGCATATATGATTGAAGCTAATCAGCAGTATGGTACAAGTTTCTACAGTTTGGATTTTGTCCCCTCCTCCTTTTATTTTTCCATTAATTGGGGTATCCTGGTATTACTTGGCAAAATAAGTGTCCTTTGTTTGCTGACTGTAGATCCAAGCCTGCTGCTTCCCCAGGAGCAGAAGCGAGGCCACCGTGGCTGCATCTAAACTGACTTGGGGTCTTATGTTGCACCGTGCTCCCTAGCATTTCTACACCTAACCCTTGTTCAGAGCTGGTCAAAGCACACTGACTTCAGTCTGCCTTGTGGGCCTGGATTTCCATTAGGTGGAAATAAAGTATTGCAGAGAAGTTGGGGTTGTATGCCCAGTTTCTCTACTTGAGAGCCACATGGCCACAGCGTGCACCTGAGTCCAGGACTGTTACTGAGTCCTGTAGTTTGAAGTGGTGCAGACCTACGTACCTTTGCAACTAGCTTTGCCAGCAGGTTAGTCTTGGTATTTGAATAGAAGTTATGATCCAGATCTCATGTGGTGAATGGGATTTTGTAAGTCAGGAAGTAAGCTAATAGTTTAGCTTTGAGTAAGTACTGGGGAACACAGAAATAGTTCATTGTACTAACTTCTAAGCTTTTATTCTGCCGTTATGTAAATCCATGTTGTGACTTAGGCAACGTAATTTTTCTCTCTGAGTATTCCTTATCCCCAGAAATTCAGCTCTTCCCCTAAGGAATGTTTGTCAAATGTAAATGTGTTTCAGAAGATTTATTCCAGGCTTTATACATCTTTTTCTGTAAACCTGAAATCAACTAAAAATCTACTATCCAAAAACTTTTAAAAAATCCTGTTCTGTATGGAAAATGTTTTTGGTAATATGTTGATGTTTCCATAAATACTTATTGTATATCAGTATTTCTGAAGTTACCTTGTCACCTTTGGCTGTTATTCTCCCTGATTTTTTGTGCAGGGAAGAAGGTGAGGAGATCTGACCCATGGTATGTGAATTTAAATGTGATGATTGCAGGCTCCGAAACAAAATTCCTCTCTCGCTTTACACTGCCAATAGCAATATTCATTTTTTTCTCTGATGATGGTATAGCTATATTGAGTGATTTTTTTGCTGTGTGTATTCTTGTCTTATACAAGAAAGTAAGACTTAATGTACCAGATTTATCTTTGGAGTGTTTGCATTGATTGGAATTACACCAGAGATCATAGTAAACACACTGATGTGTGCACGGATGAAAAGTTTTATGAAGAGTATGAATTTACAAAGAGAAGTTTTCTGTGGGCTTGTGCGTTTCCTGGCAAGCAGCCTAAACGGTGTTAGAAGTCTGGGAAGGCATCTGAGCCCTCTTCCATGTTAAACGCTACACTGCAAACAGCTATTATATGAGTGGTTTTAAAAGGAGGAAGAAGAGACCCAAAAAAACCCTGTAACTGCTGCTCAGATCAGCTCGCTTCCAGAGTACCTGCCTGAAGGAGAAAGAGAAGCACCAGGAGAGAGACTGCAACTGGACAGAAATCAAGTTCCCTTGAGTTTGCTCAGCAAGGCGCCATGTGTCATTAATCAGTTCCAGCACTAACGGAAGGTGCATGTGATGGGTGGTCTATCCACAGGTAAGTCGGTAAGTTAGAAACCGCTTAAGGAGCGGCCTCTGTAAGAGGTCCAAACCTTTGGAAAGAGTTGGTTTCCACTGAGCTAAGAGTGACCCTTCAGCACAGATAGGGCCCTTTATCTAACACGTAAAGCCTGAATCAGAAAATGTGGCCGATTAGGCGACCATATTTGGTAATAAACTTGTTAACGTTTCGAAAGCTCTTTGAAGAAGCTGTTGAAAAGTCAGTCTGATTACATCAGCTGCATGCTGAATCTCTGTGGGCTCGTAGCTGGAACGCCCTCAGCATGCAAGATTAACACATAGGTTCCCTGGGAGTGTATGTGTTTTCCATAAGCTCCAAGAGTAAATAGAGAACTTTGCTTATGTGGGCAAAGTTAACGCTCTTAAAATGAGGAGAAAGTATGACATAAAATGGAGCAAAGGGCAACAGAGGTTTATTAAAATTAGGCCTAGATTAAACTGGTAAATCTTGTGATAAGACAAATGATTCAGACGAGAACTGTGATAAACGTAAACTTTCAGGACATCAGTTACTATCTTGTTAACATGCTGCATAATAAATTGGACCAGAGAAGATGGGGTGTTCTTGTAAAACAGGTAGAGCGCACAGGAGCAATGCAGGATGTGATGTGGGGACGCTGCGTAGAAGGAGCATCGCCACGCTGGAGGACAGAAGGAGTTGTGCTATTGATCTTTAAAGGAGCTTTCTTGGAACAGCTCTTCATCGATATTTCTATTGATGTTCTTGGAGCAAATATCAAAAGTACTGATGGAATTTGCTGATAGCGCAGAACTGGGGGGCACTGGTGAAGTTGGTAAAGGTTTGAAGACGGCAGCTGCTGCTATCAGTGCTAGAGTACTTTGACCCTACCTTGACTAAGGGCTATTATACAGTGAATATAGTCTGTGCCTGCTCCCAGAGATACTGGAAAAATTGGACTCTTTTTTTTCTCATAACAGTTGACCTGGGTGCACAGTATTGAACCTCTTGGAGCAAAACTGCTTGTCGTTGTAGAAATGCAGGCAGCCTTCCTCCATTTTTTGCCATCTCTCTTCAGCCCACCTGCAGGTGCCTGTTGCCTTCAGGCAAATTAAAGTTCAAGACATCCCCAGGCCCATAAATTGGTGATGACCACAAGGACTTCTGTTGAAAATCAGGAAGAATATTAGTGAAGACTTTCATAGTGTGGCTGGGCAGCTGCTGAGCAGACATGCCAGATCATGTGGCAGCAGCTCTTCAAGCCCACCAGTAAGCACCTGCAGTCTGCCAGGGGGTGTGTATTCAAGGACACGCAGCCAGGAGCCCTGCTGGGATAAGAGACCGTTTTAAAATAAGAGAACAGATGTAATTGTGTCAAATAGAACATGAGTTTATTAAATGAAACATGGGGCACAGCGCAAATAGATGTTTTGCCTCTGTGTGTAGAACATGAATGTGATCCACCTGGTGCTGTTCGAAGTGCAGTAGCTGCAACTGCAGTGAGATGGAAATCTTTACTGTCAGTTGCATTGCGATAGTACCTAGGTGCTGCAGGAAAGATTGGGGTCCATAGCGTAATATAGGTATAAAAAGAGATGCTTCCCTTCACCGTAAACCTTGGAGGTGTGCAGCTAGACAGAGGGCAACCAGGAAAGCTTTAGAAGTTGGTTCATGCAGAACGTGGTGTTTCCAAGAGACCTCAAGTTTCCTTCATCAGCATGGCTGTAGATCCCAGTGACCCCAAATGTTTCTCCCTTGAATCCTGAGAGAGGCTCAGGAGGGCAGTTCATTGCT